AAAACAAAATTAAACAAATGATAATGAAACAAGTGTTAAATGGGTTTACGAAAGATTTTCTAAAAAAATTTCATCAAGAAACTCAACTCATTCTCTCTCCTGCTTTAAATTATTTTTCAATTTTTTAATGCTAAAAAACTCATCAAGATATCTCCATTGGAGGCTCTTATAGGTTGTTTTTTTTTCTTTTTGTCACAAACACACTTTAATATTGGTTATACAAATACATTGTCTGTATCAGTAAACCAATATGGTACGGAAGTGCCAATAAAAAAATAAAATCTGCCAATTCACGCAATTCTGACTCTTATAGGTAAATGAGGTCGAATTCTAGGAAAGATTCCCTAAAATCTGCCAATTCACGCAATTCTGACTCTTATAGGTTGTCCAATTGCAAAAATGTCAATGATAATGATTTTTAAACACTAAATTTTAAAATTCTAAACTATAAAAAATGTTTTCACCCCAAACAAACCCTAAATTCTCAAAACTAAATCCTCATACAATATAATTAACCCAAACATAAATGATTTTATTGAGTAAATAATTTTGAAAAAATGACATTTTTGCAACGATTTTTAAAAAGTGGCATATTTAAAAAGACACTTTAAAATGGGCATTTCTCACAAAATTTCTTTTATTATTTACCACTCAAATGAAAATCATTAAATTTATTTATTTATAATATTAAAAATTTATTAAAAATAGATTTAAACTTAGAAATTAAATTAAGTTGGTGGATACATCCCATGTATTTCCTTAGATAGGTGAAAAAATGTGATCGTGACAAAAAAATCAATATTAGATGCTTTTCTCGATTATGGTATTTTATAAGAGTATTTATCATAGCATTATTAATTGTCAATAGAAATATGTTTGAAAATGGTAGTGTACACTATCTCGTTGTAATTCAGCGAGAGTGATATCCTATTACATAGACTGAAAAAAATGTTTAATATAAATCATATTTAACAAAACATGTTTTACTATGGTTTTTGAAGGAAAAAACATGTTTTAATATGATTTATGGAAGTTTGATCGCTGGAATTATGATTTGTGAGTTTTATCTACAAATAAAATAATTTATTTTGTAACAAACCTTTTGCCAATTTGCTACATTTAAAATGTCGTTCTAGTGATTCAAATTGTGACATAATAAATATGTTCCAATTTGTAGCTAAGTTGTTACTATTTGCTACAAAAATATATTTGTTACTAATTCGTTAACATACCTAAAAATATTACGTCGATATGTCATCCGATTGCACTGGATAGAGTGATCCCATATAGGGGTTGATTGCTTCACCTGCTACCACCCGCAAACACAGTAGCGGTTGTTGGCGTTTGACAACAATCATGGAAAACGCTTTATACCGCTCCGTATCGCTCCAAACCTCTCAAATCCAAAAGTTTCTTCTCTCGAGCGTTTGCGGTTGCGAGAGAAATTGATTTTTTTTGCCAAAAGAAAATTGATTTTTTTTTTGCCAAAAGAGAGAAAATTTGCTTAAAAATCAAAATACATATAAAATTTTTAAAAATGATATTTTAGTAACTATAATTATGAAATATATCAATAATTTGAAACTTTCTGATTAATATTCAATAATCTATCATAATTTTATATTTATAAAATTTTCAAATCATAATTTTTTCGATAAATTATTCTTGATCACTGATTACTAAATCTAACAAACCAAAATGTTCAAAATCACATTAACCTCTCTAAAATAAAATTTTTCTCCATTAAATCACAATTTTTTTTTTGCCACAATCATAACTTTCGTCTAAACTAAAAAAAACTAAAAATGAACATAAGAAATA